ACAGTTCAACAACAGGAAAATGCAAGAATTGTGCGACGAACTGGAGATAAAAAAGGATTTCTCAACTCCTCATCACCCGCAGGCAAATGGACAAGTTGAGGCAGTAAACAAAACTATCAAGCATACCCTGAAAAGGAAGCTTGACACCTCAAAAAGGGCTTAGGTCGATGAGCTACCCCACGTCCTCTGGGCCATCAGAACCACAAGCCGAACTGCAACAGGGAAAACACCATTCTCAATGACCTACGGAGGTGAGGCCATGAGCCCGATCGAGGTCAAGGTCTCATCGCACCGTCGAATACACTTCAACGAGATCAGTAACGAAGAGGCCCGAGTGAACGAACTCCACCTCCTTGAAGAAATGAGGGATACCTCCCACGTGAATTTGGCAAAGTATCATAGGAAGATGACCCACTATTATAACTCCAAGGTCAGAAACCGAACTCTTCGCCTGGGGGACCTCGTCCTCAGAAGGGTCTTCTAATCATCAAAGTCAACGGGGTCCAAAGTGTTTGGACCGAACTGGGAGGGTCCTTACCGCATCCACGGGGAATCCCAATCTGGCACTTTCGAAATTGAAGACATGGCAGGGAAAGCACTACCTCATCAATGGAACATCGAACACTTGAGGAAATACTATCAATGATGAGCTTCTGTTCCGATCTGATCTCAATGTTGTCTAATAAGTGTATGTCCTGATCCAATCTCGTTTGGAATTTCCCTAGCTCACTAAGTGCTGAAAAGGCCTTAGTAACAAGTAATGTAACTTCTCTAAGTAATGATACTTTAGTTCTTTGTCACATCGGTTAGTAAATTGTTACCTCAGCCCTTCAATATGTTTACTTAAGTGATCCGATCTTTTGTCATTAACTGATTATTATTACGAGGCACTTGATGATTACTTAAGTGATCCGACCTTCTGATTATTGTTAAAAGGCGCTTGATGATTACTTAGGTGATCCGATCTTCTGATTATTGTTAAGAGGCGGTGTGGTCCCTCCATTCTTCGGTCCAATAATTATTGTGGACCACCGCCATTGCAGCCGTTTCTGGGAGGAGAGCCTCTAGTACTTCTTTTACTGGCTCCTCGAAGTTCGTGCCCAAGAAGTTCACCTCCTTTGAGGGACGAGCTCTTTTTCTCTTGGGCTGTCCCGGTACTTAGGCGAGAGGCACAGCAGCAACTGGCACTGCGGCCGAGGCAGGAAAAGCCTCTGATAGCGTAGGCGTCTTCTTCGGAATGGCCACCCCTGTAGGAATTGTAGTTTGCTTCAGAACAGGGGGTGGCCTCGCCACCGTTGGTCGCTTCGAGGGGGCAGCATGTTTTTTGCCCTTCCAAAGCAGATTGGCCTTAGGATCCTCGAGCACCTCCTCCTCCGTTGGAGGGAGCCTTTTGCTGGCGTCCACCAAGTCCTCCATCTGCTTCTTATAGGCGGAGGAAGAGGTCTTCAAGGCCCTCGCTTCGGCCATCATCTTTTGTATGGTCTTGAAGTCGAGCCGGAGAGGCATCTTCTTATTAAAGTTATCTACAAGAAACAAGTAAATTAGTACAAGTGTAAACGACTCGAAAGTACTGAAGGGTATTCGCTTCGAGATATTACCTTGTGAGACCATCAGGTTGTGCTTCACAAAATGAATGTTCTTTCTGATCAACCGGTGGAACGACCTCTTCTTCGGAGGCAGCTGATATATGACGTAGATGATCTCGAAGTCGTCAGAGGACAACTTGCACCGAGGAAGAGTGCCTTTAAAAAATGAAAACAAATGTTAGTTATGATCCGAACCGAAGAGAAATAAACAAGAAACACGGCTACAATACTCACTAAGTGACGAGTACTTCGTGGGGACCGTAAGAGGTGCCAGGGGATCCCCCTCCATTGTGTCCCATCTCCCGGCAGCCCAGCACCACGAGCTCTTCCACTCCTTGATGGAGCTCGGCAGATCGAGCACGAAATGAGTGTGGGAACCCCAAGAGGTCAGGTAATACCAGCCCCTAGTCTTATCCCCCCGGCTGTTACTTTGGGAATGTAGAGGGTCTGAAAAACAGAGAAAGGCATCTCCACCCCAAGTGACGCCTCTTTCCATAACATCCAGGAGCCCACCATTTGGCTCCAGGAGTTTGGGTTCAGTTAGGTCGGTGCTAAGCCATAAGATCTAAGCACCATCCAGAAAAAAAGGTGAATTGGAAGCCTACGACCGACCCTAAGTATCGCCACGCACCCGGGCATAGGGTAGCAGGCCCTCTCATCAGGCTCGAGTAGAGGATCAGGTCTATACTATCTGGCATCCCATATTCAGTCCTAAGCCATTCTAGGTCGGCCCCCTTTAGCTTGGAGGGATAATCTGACGCCCCCCCAATGCAGAGAGGTATCTGCTGGGCAATCCGGCCTCTTCCAAATGTTCTCCCCCCAAGTATCGCTTCGGCTAGTTCGGAGGAGGTCGCCACAATGGGCTCGTTCATCCGCACTAACTCCAACCCCCTCCAGAACTAGTACTACCCTCAGAAGCCATTTTCAAAAAGGAAATGTCTCAAATATTTACTGAAACTTACGAGTTTAGGTGTTCCCCAGCCGGAAATGGTCGAAAAGCGATGTGTGGTCGTCGGAAAATCGAATTTCTCGCCGAAAATGCTTGAAGAACGTCGGAAATCGCAATAAAGTTTGAGAGCAATGGAATTTTCTATTTTTCGCAAGAGTGAAAAGCACCAAAAACTTACAAGTCCGCCTTTTATAGAGCGGTCCAACTAATCTCCACCGTTGAATTCAAACGCAATCAATCTAGGCCGTTGAAATGAAACGCCAGATTTGATCTACGCCTAAGATTTTAATGTGACCCTCACGCTCGCATATAATGCATCGCCTCGGTCACCACCAGCCGTCAATAATAAGTAGCCGTAGCAGCCTACTAGGGGAATGGGTGCTGCACCCAACTATCATCTTGAAAATACGCAACAACTATCAAATCATTTAACGTTAAATACGCTCGCCTCGGATTGAGTTCCTCACTCAACTTTACAAAGTTTAGACGCACCTGACGCAGAATTTCCTGTGGGTCATCGCCTCTGTCGCCACGTTCCCTCCTAAGCTTAACAAAGTTTTAGCCATCTCCCAACGCATCATCCCCTGTGGGTCAGCGCACCGGTGGCAGATGAGCTTCTCACTCAACTTTACAAAATTTAGACACACCTGACGCGAAGTCTCCTGTGGGTCATCGCCTCGGTTGCTGTGTTCCCTCCTAAACTTTACAAAATTTTAGCCATCTCCCAACGCATCGTCCCCTATGGGTCAGCGCACCGGTGGCAGATGAGCTCCTCACCAACTTTACAAAGCTTAGACGTACCTGACGCGGAGTCTCCTGTGGGTCATCGCCTCGGTTGCTGCGTTCCCTTCTAAGCTTTACAAAGTTTTAGCCATCTCGCAACGCGTCGTCCCCTATGGGTCAGCGCACCAGTGGCAGATGAGCTCCTCATTCAACTTTACAAAGTTTAGACGCACCTGACGCGAAGTCCCCTGTGGGTCATCGCCTCGGTCGCTGCGTTCCCTCCTAAGCTTTACAAAGTTTTAGCCATCTCCCAACGCGTTGTCCCTCGTGGGTCAGCGCGCCTATGGCAGATGAGCTCCTCACTTAACTTTACAAAGCTTAGACGCACCTGACGCGGAGTCCCCTGTGGGTCATCGCCTCGGTCGCTACGTTGATCGTCTCCCTATGCATCATCCAGGTCGGCAGCGCCTCGATCTCACATAAATTTTTCCCTCGCGCAGTAGTGAAGCTTTAGCTCATCTGCGTAGGATTAACGCTTTTTTGAACACAAAAAATCGACCCTCAAGTTCTCACAAATCACGATCCCCATCCCGAGACATACATACCCAATCGGGAAGACAAGTCCACTCATGATATAAATATTCATACCTGGACTTGGGGGACCACTGTTACACCCCTATCTGAACCACTTCGAAAAGACCGCCACCACGTCATGCGAAGTGCAGAACACTCATCCGAAATGGTTCCGAAATGACTTCACCAATGGTGACAATCTGATACCACACCACGAGGAATAGGCAATCTTGCGGGATTGACCGAAACGCCCTCGCCCCTGAATCCGAGGCGAAATGCACTCCGAGGACCTCGGTCAGAGGATCCGTCGCCAATTTCAGAATGAAATCATTTGTCAAGATCTTTTCTGGCTCTAAGGTTTAAAGTGATTAGACGTCTCTATGGGGCTAGTTGATGTGATGTATCTTTATGTCAACTCAACTCAACTCGGGAGAAGTAATTACCCACCCACTCTATAGACACGGCTGATTGACACCTATGAGCAGACGCCTCATACCGTCAGATGTATACACGTGTCCCACATCCAACGGTTATCCTCACCTATAAATACCCAAGGCTTGACAGGAGTCAGAAGCAATGAAACTCTTACTACTTAGCATTCCATAGCAAGCAAATATATATATTCTCCTCCCCACTATTTTGCACAACCTTGGTACTGTTTCGATCACCTGAGCCTAACTTGACCGTCGGAGTGTATACGGCCGCCGCCACCCCCGCTGATTCCGACCGTGTGCATCTGACCGTGCATTGATTGTGCGCAGGGAGGGATACGTGGAGTGGCTATCGATTGGCCACGTGGAGGATCCAATTTCCGAGGTCAACAAAAAGTATTTCCTTTCTTTTCTTACCTTGCTCTTGCTATTGGTTTATCACTCCAAACAGAAACAAAAGGATCATCACCCCTCACTTATGCTAATATAAAGAAATTATAGTGAAAATAAAACTTAAAACTTCTTCAATACTTGCATTTGTATAAGCAAATGTGTAAGTGCAAACTTTAATTTTTCTTATCTATTCTGCAAATAAAGAAAGGCACACCAGATAAACAATAAGACAAACTCAGAATCTTTATAAATTAAACAATCTTAGAATCTGCATCAATTGGATTAAAAGAAAAACAATCTCCAATGTGAAATAAATTAATTTATTAACAAATAAGAAAATGTAACCTTTTGTTGTTATCAAGAAGCTTTAAGCTTCTGAAGGCAGAAAATTGGTGATACACCGCCGACATATCGAGATTAAGTAGATGTAGACCAAAGATAGTTTAGTATATAGAAGTTGGTTCTGTTTAGCTTATAATTAAATTTCGATGAGAAAAGTGAATTCAGAAAACTCAGATGGTATTAATAGTTGCAATGGAAATGATAATGCTTGTGATTGTAATTATTGTAGTAGTGGTGGCGATAATGTGAGGGAGGTGGAAGAGAGCAGGGGTGAACTGAGCGACGGCGGCGGCGGCGCTGAGCATGACGTCTGATTACGGCGGCGGCAGGTGGAAGGGGATTATGACGGCGGGATTGTCCGTTTCAACACCCGAGTAGGGCATTTTTGTTTTTGTGATAGTGCGTTTGAACACCTGAGCAGGGGATTATGACTGTAATTATTTCGCCTTGTTATAAATATAACGTGGACGAATTAGTTAACGCGAAATAAATAATTTTACTTATAAAACATTAACTTATAAGCAAATTTTAAAATAAATATTTTTTATTAATTAAAGTACTTATTAATTATTTCAATAAATAATAAATTTTTCTTAAAAGTTACAAAATTAAATTATCCGAACATGTGAAAGAGAAAAGGTAAGTAAATAATTTTTAAAATAAATATCTTTTTAGTTAATCAAAGTTCAATATAGATAAGTTACTTATTTTAAGACAAATAAAATAATTACATTTGAAAAAGTAAGAGAATATTCAAAACATATTTGTAAAAAGGTAACTTTATTTTTTATTTTCGAAAGCTAGAAATAAATAAATAATTTGTTTTGACAATAAAGTGAGATAATTAAATTAATGCGCTTATAATAAAAGTAACTTTTCCTATTTAAAATAAGTGAAAATTACACAATTCCATACTTTAAAAATTCACAATTCTAAAATCATATGAGTAGTTTAACCTTTCAAAAATCAGATGTTTTATTTTAATTAATATTTTTTAAAATAAATATTTTTACTAAATATATTATATACTCCAATAATCAGAAACCCTAATTAAATTCTCATTATTCTCTCTCTCTACATTTCTATGTCGTTTTTCTCTCTCTCTCTCTGTCTTTCTCTATTCCCTGACGGAAAACGAAGACACCGAAGCAGAAGCACTCGTATTGCCGATCGATAGTGAGTTGCCTATCGCCGGTCGAAAGGTGCTTTGCGGCTACAACTACTTCGTCCTTGCAGCGATTTTGCCATGGTGGCGATGCTATGGTGGCAAAGGCGCTTCACGCAATAAATAGGGGTGACGCTTGTTGGCGATGGTGTGGTGGATCTAATGGGGATGGTCGATCTGGTGGTGGAAATGAGTTTTGTGGTGGTGGTTGTATTACGCTGGTGTGGTGCCGTAGGGTGTGGGAGAGGAGGTGATGCGTGGTTGCAATGTTGTGTAGGGACGGTAGTTGGGCGTGCTGTTGTGCAAGGGTACGGGGATATTAGTGGTGTGGTGGTTGTTCTAGTAATGTGCGGTGCCGCTGACTGGTTGTTGTGAGATGGTAGGTAGATCTACGATGGCAGATTTGATGGTTTGGTGGTGTTTGGCGGATCTGGTGTTTTGGTGGTGGTTAGCGGTGGTTGTGGTAGTGGGTGGGGGTCATGGTAGATGTTGGTGACTGTGGTCTGTCGAGGTGAATGTGTTGATTCATTTGACAGTGGTGTTGTTAACGGGTAGTGGTGGTGGCGGTGGTCGTCACAAATGTTGATGGTGGTCACAGATTATTTGATTACTTGTGACTAGCGAATTGGTTAATCTGTAACCAATAAACAATATGTGACCAATGAAAAAGATAAATTGTAACCAAGAAATATTGTGTGACCTAAAAAATTAATAATTTGTAATTGTCTTTTTAAGTTGTAACCTATAATATTTGTGATTTGTGACCAATAAAATTTTTTATTCATGACCAAAAAATTTTATGTGACCTATAAATTTTTTATTTGTGATCAAGAAATAAGTTATGACCAATAATTTGATAAATTGTGACTAAAAATTAATCGTCACTCATAAATTTTTTGACTTGTGATCAATAAACAAGATGTGACCTACAAAATTTTTGAATTGTGATTGTAAAATAATTTGTGACATAAAATTTCTGATTTGTGACCAAAAAATAATAAATGACTAATTAAATTGTTAATTTGTGACCAAATTGTATAAATATATGACCTAAATATAATTAATTAATTAAATCATAAATAAATTTTAATAAAAAATCTGATTTTTGAAATTTGAAACCAGTTTTCTTAATTTTAAAATATGCCATACTTAATTTCTTACTCATGAAATTTTCCCTTAAAATAATTCATTCAAACTTTTAAAAATATCTAGACAAGGAAAAACTAGTATTATCTAAATACCTCATAGTATTGATAGTATAAGAATGCAGGAATTATCTCTAAAGGCATAATGTGTGATTTTAGAATTCTATGAAATCCATAGAAAATAGAGATCTTAACAATTAGAGTATTAAAATCAAATGTTTGTCACCATCAAATTGTTCGGAAAACGAAGTCTTTTATTATGAACAATTTTACCCTTCAGATATCGTGTGCATCTCGTGTCCACTTAATGATTACATAGATTTCTCGTTAGGTAGAAATACCGTGCTATGAACTACTAAAAGGTTGGGGACACAAGTGTCACAAGTGAAATATTAGGAGTGGAAATTACATCAGATCTTGTTTTTTAAGTTCCATTTTCAAAAATGAAAAATGAAACTTAAAAGTTATTTGTACAAAAATCAGGTCATAATAGGGGTGTCAACAAGTCGAGCAGAGCTAGCTCGTGAGTCGAAACTCTCGGCTCGAGCTTTTTAAAGGTGGGCTTTTTTTTAGCCCGAGCCTAGCCAAGCAAAAGCTCGGCCAAAAAATTAAGGCTTGACCTGAGCAGCCTTATCGAGCCGAGCCGAGCCAACTATGTTTTCTCAAATTTTTTATTTTTTATTTTTCTCCCTTTTTAGCTGCTTGTTTGACAGCCAAAATAGCTGCCAATAGACAGTTATTGATAGACCACAATTTTTTTTAATAACGGGCCGGCTTGACTCGAGCCGACTCCCTGAAATGGGGGCTCGGCCTGAGCCTTGGCTCGATGACTTCGAGCCTCGAGTCAAGCCGACTTGGATTCCTTTCGGGCCGAGCCACGAGTGGCCCGAGTCGACGAACTTGATTGTCATCCCTACGTGATAATAAGTTTTAAAATTTAAATAATAATATTATATAATTAAATTAATATATCCAATTACACACCCCTACCCCATCACATTTCACTTCCCAAACCCTAATAATTTCTCTCTACCTTTATCACACCACGACAACCTCCCGTGATAACCACTACCAACCAACGGTGACATCACCATTACTCTGTCTACACGCCACACAGGAGACACCGTCAACAGCACCTCCAATGTGCTCATGACGCCTCAATCCTCCCCTTTAGCTCGGATTTTAGCAAGCCGCTGCTTAGAGCGGCGCCTTTATTGTGGCATTTTGAGCGCCACGCCATGCCATTGGGCTTTGATTGGTTTTAAATGGTGTTTTCTAGTGATGACAACTTTGATAATAGCATCGCTCCAACGGCGATGGCGTTCTCTGTACGCAACTGCAGCCAAAGTATTGGTGGTATTTGTTTGTGACAGCTCAAAACATCATTGGTATAGACAAAGTCGTTGATGGTATTGTGGTTGGTGGTGTTGTGGTTGGTAGTGTTTGTTGGTGGTGGTAGAGCGTTGGGGGTGCGGTGTGCAACGATGGTGGTGCAAGTTTGTGGTTTGTGTCGGTTATCGAGGTAAAGGATTGTTGCAATGGTTTTGAAATGATATTTGGGAGGTGGTTTTTCGATTTTCTTATTCCGATCTACTTTATCAGAGTGTTGTGGTGGTGGTGCAAGTCGTGGTAATGTGGTGATACTGGTGGTGTAGCAATGGTGATGGCAAGATGGGATGGGGTGGGAAGAGTACATGTGATTAATTATTTGATTAATTTGTGACTAATAAATAAATATGTGACTTAAAAAATATGATTGTACCTCACTTTATTAAATTGTGATTGAAAAATAAATTATGATCAATTAATTTGATAATTTGTGATCGTGAAATAAATAGTTATTAATAAAATTTGTGATTCGTGATCGATAAATAATTTGTGACCTATAAAAATTTTAATTTATAATAGAGATATAATTTGTAACCAATTAATTTGCTAATTTGTGACAAATTAATTTGATAACTTTTGACCGTGAAATAAGTTATAACTAACAAAATTTATGATTCGTGATCGATAAATAATTTGTAAATTATAAAAAAATTTATTTGTGACAATGAAATAATTTATAGCCAATTAATTTGCTAATTTGTGAACAAATTACATAGAATTATAATCTCAATACATTTAATAAATAAAATATATTTTTAATTAATTATTTCATAAATAAAATTTAATAATATCTGATTTTTAAAATTTTAGACCTTGTTTCTTAGTTTTGAAATGGGTCATAGTTAAACTCTTAGGATACGTTTAGTTGTAAGTATAAAATTTACATGAAAAGAAAATAAATTGTAGCATTTCAATTGCTTAAAACTTATTTGCATAAAAATTATTAATTAAGTGTGTTTGATTGATTTAATTTTCAACATAAAAAATATTATATTTGTCCATTTTTTATTTGTGAGTAGATGAGAGATTGGATAGAAGAGAGAGTGGGTGAATTTTCTAAAAGATAAAATCTTATTCCTCCTAAAGAAAATATTTTGCTTGATTTTGAGAAAAATATCATCACGTGATCAAAAGTAGAAAAATATTTTCCATGAAAAAAAATGTCAATCAAACAACACAAAAATATGAATTTGGGTGAAAAAACACATTTTCATGAAAAATATTGACAATTAAACACACCGTTAGATATGAAATTTTCCAATATTAGGACATAACTGCCACATGAAAGGTCGGGTACTTGCACGGGACAAAAATAAGTTAATATAGAACAGCAAGAAATGAAAATGATTAAATCCAAAAAAGTTCTTGTTTCATTTAAAGATAATTATTGATACAGATAAGTATGTTGGCAAATAACTGCCAAATGGAACACATCTAAAATGGCACACATTGAATCTTGAGACACTAAACACAACCGAGCACACAAGCCCCTACAACCGCAGTTAAAGGACTGTCTATCCAGAGTATAAAGCTATATCCCCGTTCCTTCTCCGCAACCGCCACCCGTACAATTGCCACCACCATAATACCACAATATACATGGAAGGAGAGCCAGGTCACCGCTTAAAATACTATACCCAATTTGTGAAATGTAACAAAATAATGCTGAGCAAAACGCTAAAAT